ATGATTTGAGGTAACTGAAGAACTAGAGAGAGAACTTATTGTGGTAGACTCAGTGTTAGCACCCAGGATGCTAAAGGTGGAAAGGCAAAAAAGTGGAAGTTATCTCAATCTGAAGTGGTAGATTAAAGAGGAAATCAAGAACAGATGGGACTGGAGTGACAAAGTTGAGTGGGAAGAGAACAAGAAAAGGATCAGAGTCGAAACAAATGGAAATGAAGAAATCCTACATGAGATATTAAAGACAAAATACTGAAGGTCATTGAGTTGATCTGGTGGAATTGGGTTGATCTGGAACAACATACGAAAAAGTCGGGTGGAACGGGTGGGGGGATCAGCGGTCGTGTGGGTGGTGTCGGATCGTCTCCCAAGTGACAAATAAAGGCTGTTGTGTGGAACTATAGAGGTATGGATGTGCCCTCTACAGTTTCCAAATTAAGGAGTCCTTGAGGACCCGTCACCTGAGTTTTTTTTTTTTTTTTTTTTTTTTCAAAAACTAAAAAAAAAGGATCTATTGTGCAGACTGTGTGGCAAAAAGATGGGGTTTGAGGATAGGTGGTTTTCAGTTGAGACTAAAGGCGCAGAGGTTTACATAAAAGTGGAGTTCAGGCTGCAGAATCAAGAGGAGTCCACATGAGGGTTTTTGTATATTTAAACACTAGTAAAGCTCCAAGATAACAACAATGAAGATTCCTATAGCAGGAGAGGCAGAAAATGGGGAGACAAATGGGTTATTCTAGGATATTGTAATGATTTATGTTGGGGTGAAGAGAAGAAAGGGGGCAAAGTTATACCTGAGAAGAGTTTTTATGGCTTAAATGATTTTATTTCTGACATGGGATGGAGGAGATAAGAATGACGAGGCATCGATTTACTTGGGGGAATAATGGAATGCTATAGGGGTTTGTGAAGGAAAAGCTAGACAGAGCCTCAGTTCCTTTGATGGGTTGGCTCAGTATCCAAGTGCATGTATTACTAATGTATTTAGGAGTGCCTCAGACCATTTTCTGTTGATTCTAGATTCAAGATTAGTTAAAGAAAGTGATATAGGATATTATATGTACCAGACCGGTCCGCCGGCCTAACAGAATAAACCGGGTTGATCAAGCTGGTCAAAGAAAATACTGGTCGAGCTATGAAGGTCTCAAGGTCGGAGATAAGCGGATCCATAAGGGCTTGACAAATCCCGATACATAGAGGGGCTGGTCGAAGCGCCAGACGGTCGAGCATAACAGAGGGCGGTCGCCCAAGTGTGGTCGAATTCAGCACTGATGGAATGACCCAGCAGCCCGCCCGGATGTGGTCGAACAGTAGAGCCTCCAAGGCAATCTCCAGCACGCGAGTGGAGGACACGCAGCACACAACGAGTGGTCCAGGGCGATAACGGTCTCTGACATTCCCTGACGCGTTTCTGACACCAAGGTAGCGGAGGCAGATGATCGTACGACCGGGCAGTTAGGGCAGCCAGCTCAGCTCGCCCGGGCAGCTCCTAGGGCAGGTAACTCTTCCATATAAATAGAGACGAGATCTCTTGTTTTAGATACAATCTCATAAACACTTACATACTTTCATACATATTCTTCATCTTCTCAAGACTGACTTGAGCGTTGGAGGCTCTTCACCAGAAAATCCCTCCGGTGTGAGAGTTACGTGCAGGTTCGGCGTTCTACCGCGAGAAAGGCGAGCTCGAGATGGTTTCCAGCCGGTCGGGGCGTTAGACCTGTATTAGAAAGAAAACAAAAAAGGTTTCAATTTGAAAAGACATGGCTGCAAAAACGATGGGCTAAGTAGGTGGTGCAGAAGGCTTGAGAGCTGCAGCACGAAGGTACCCCTATGTTCAGGGTTAAAGAAAAGATTAAGCATACTAAGATGGCCTTAATGTTGTGGAGTAAACATTTCAAAGCTCAAAGTAGTGCAAGGAGAGAAAATGTCACTCTAAAACTTGAGGATATGGGAACATAAGGAAGAGAGAAGAATTGAAAAGCTCGGGAAGTAGTCAAAAGGAGTTGGATGAGGCACAATGCTCTGAGGCCTTGTTCTGGCAACAAAAGGCAAAGTTCATTAGCTAAATGAAGCATATCAGAATTCAAAATTCTTTCATGCATACACAATGCAAAGTAGATGAAGCAATGCCATATCTAGGTTGATTAAAGAGGATACCAAGTCTGTCGATAAAAAAAGGAGATAAAAGAGTATTTTGCCAGTTTTATTCTCAATTTATTAAATCTGAGGGATGTAGGGGAGGAGAGAAGCTGTTGAATATGATCCATCAATCAGTTACTCCTAATATGAATACATTGTTGTTGCAAAAGGTCAAAGAGAATGACATTAAAGCTGCTCTTTTAAGTATGAATCTAGGGAAGACACTAGTGGAAGATGGTATGTCAGCTCTCTTTTATCAACATTTCTGTCCAATTGTAAAGCATGATCTGATTCTGGCTGTTGGGAGTTTTTTCTTCTGGACATTTGTTAAAGTATTGGAACCATACATTGATAACTTTTATTCCCAAATGTGCCAACCCTATCAATCTAAGTCAATTTAGGCAATTAGCCTTTGTGGTGTGGTTTACAAAATAATCTCCAAAATTTTGTCTTTGAGACTTAAGAACTGTATAAATGCATTAGTAAGTCACAAGCAGCTTTCATTAAATAAAGACAACTTCTTGATAATTTGATAATTGCTCATGAAACATCTCATTTTCTAAATAAGCATATATCAAAGGGGAACTGTTTTATGGTTTTAAAGCTGGATATGGTGAAAGCATATAACATAGCTAAATAGCACTACATAAATTTGATCATGCTAAAAATAGGCTTCAATCCGTAGTTTGTAAAATGAATCATGGCTTGTGTATCTTCCTCTACATTTTCGTTCAATTTGATGGCAGTATCAATGGTTATATCTCCCCTTCCGAAGGATTGAGGAAGAGAGACCCAATCTCCACATAGTTCTTTCTCATTGTCTCTGAAGTGCTCAACTCGCATGATAGAAGGTCAACTTTGACAAGTCAATTATATTCTTCAATAAAAACACTTCAGTGAATATTTAGGGTAGCATCTGTGATTTTTTTTTTTCATGGGATAAAGATTCATACATCTACCAAGTACTTGGGACCAGGCATATCAAAGAAAAAAGCTTGACTACATCAATAAAACAGTAAGATCAAGGATTGTGGGTTGAAAGAACAAAATCCTTTCAACAACAGGTAAGGAGGTCCTTTCTAAAGCTGTTTTAAATGCATTTCCAGTATTTGTTATGTTTTGCTATAAGTTACCTATAAGTCTGTGAAAGAAGATTGCAACTCCGTGTGTATAGTCTTGGTAGTGTAAGGGAGATGATCAGAAGAAAGAAATCAACTGGAGAGCTTAGAACATATTATCAATACCAAAGAGCAAAAGGGGACTTGGTTTCTTTGACATCGAACTCTTCAATGAAGCTTTGAGTTGCAAATAGTTTTGGACAATAAACACCCAGCCTAAACTCTTGGTTAGTAGAGTCTTCAAAGGCAGGTATTTCCCAAACTCATCCTTCTTTGAGGCGTAGAAGAGGCAAAATTCTTCTTGGGTATGGAACTGTTGGATGAACGTAATAAGTACATTTGTTAAAGGATTAAGGGTGGAAATCATTAATGGCCGCTCTACCTGAATTTTGGATCCTAGACAGGTGACCAATCTTAACCATAAGAGGCTAAAGATTTTGGGACAAGGAAGAGCGTATCTGCTTTGGGTGAAAGACATCACGACAGAAGATGAAAGTCACTGGAATGAAAATCTAATGCAATAGATGTTCAGTGCAGCTGATTCTAGGGTCATCTTACAAATTAAGTCACTCAATCCTAATTAATCCAAGAGAACGCTCACACAACTGACATACAAATTCTTCAGTACTTGAAGTTGCTGATGTTAGCCTTGGCATACTCTCTTTTTATTGTTGTATTATAGATGTGTAAGAGAGTTGGAAGCATGATACATAATGGAGACCGTGACCGTGACATCATTGACATAATTGATGTTAATGCTTTGATTTGATGGTGAACTTCTGAAATGTGTTTGAGCGAAAATCGGTGATGAAGATCCGAAGAGCGAAATGATTGTTTCCATCACGTTGCATGCGAAAACGAAATGGCAGTGATGGAGCCGTGTCCGGCGTAGTGGACCATTCTGGGACAATTCTCCTGAACATTGGGCACATGCTTTTCAAGCTCATGATTCGTTTGTTGCAAATGGTGAAAACTTGTTATATTCGTTGCATCTGCTAATTTTTTGTTTTCAATTATGAAAAACTTCAGCAATTGCGGATCAGATGTAAATGTGTAGTATAATTCTAAAGATATCTGACCATGTTAAAATCATGCTCTCTGAACTACATCCACTTAATTGTTATAGTTTTCAGACATGATAACAGGCATTTAGACACTTAATTCTTGGATGTCGTGATTGTTGACCATCCTTTTGCTTGTTTAAGCTCAACCACAGAATGGATCCTTAGCAGTCCCGACTTTCAAGAATTAAGTGTCGAATTGACTATTATCCACTTATGATTTTTTTTTTGGGAGATTCTTTTTTTTTTTTCTTAAAAATCATTTCATAATTAAAAAACAAATCTCGAAACCCACCGTAATC